TATGTTAATCCCCATACATTACATCATTAGTTTTAGATGAAGTGTTCCATGATTCATTGTTTGTGCATAACACCCAGTGCTCCATGCAGAATGTGCCCTCTGTCCTCACATTTCTTTAAAATTGACTGCCTATAAAGAGCAAATATGGGGTGCTAATAAGGTGCAGGACAGCTCACGACACCACATGAAGATTCATCGTCTGCTCATTTGTTAAGTACTAACTGGGCATATATCCTGTGCCAGCCCATCCTGGACCCTGGTGCATGACAATAAGAGAACAAACATCTGCCCTTAAGATGCTTAATGTTCAGCAGAGAGATGGGTGCTAATGAATAAATCCCTTGTATGATTTCTGGGAATAATGAGTGTGCAGAAGGATAGACAAGGATGGAGGGGAGTAACTCAGATAACATCCATCCTTCAAAATCCTGAAGAGCATCCTTCTTGCTCAGAGAAACCAGAGCAGAGGTCTAATATCTGTTGAGTCTGATCATGGCCCAGCTGATGTCCACACTGTGGCCTCAGGCAAATGACTCAACTCCTCTGACCCTAAGCTTCCCTGTGTGCAGAATGGGGGATCAGAGTCCTCTCACTCAGGGTCTTTGCTATGGACTGAATTGTGTCCCCACAAATTCGTGTGTTGAAGCCTTAACCCCCAAGGTATTTGGCGGTAGGACCTATAAGGGGGTAATTAAGGTTAAATGAGATCATTAAGGGTGGGGCCCTGATCCAACAGGATCCGTGTCTTTATAAGAAGGGATGACAGAGAGCATTCTCTTTCTCTCTCCTTCTCTTACTCTCTTTTCCTCCCTCCCTCCCTCCTTCTCTCTTCCTCTCTCTCTCTCTCCCTTCCTCTTTCAATCTCTCTCACCCCCCCCACCCGCCCCCACATCTCATGCGAGAAGGCAGCCGTCTATAAGCCAAGAAGAGCATTCTTACCAGAAACTGATTCTGCCAGTACCTTGTACTTCCAGCCTCCAGAACTATGAGAATGAATTTCTGCTGTTGAAGCTGCCAGATTACAGTGTCTTGTCATGGCAGCCGGAGCTGACCAACCCAGTTGTCAGGAGGAACTGACAAGGCCCAGCATGGCCACAGCTCAGTGAGCAAAGTTGTCATTGCTTCCGATTAATCCTTACTCCCTGAAGGATTTTCATGATGTCTTTTCTCCAGGAAGCTCTCCAGGGACTTTGAAAATACGGGGATAATTTTGACAATAAAAATCCTTACATCTCTTAACTCTGACAAGGGTGGCACAGAGCTCTCGGGCCTCCACTGCTGGGGGACCAGGATATTCATGGGGTCCGGGGGGAGCCCTGTTATAAACAACAGTGGGGCTGGAAGATGCAGAGCCTGGCAGAGAGCAGGTATGGGGGATCCAGAAGAAGAGAACATTAACAATAGTTATGTTTAAGCTTTGAGACTAGGGGAGAGTTCTATTTCTTGGTGCTTTCCTGTGTTTTCCACTTCAAGCACATTCTACTTTTCTACATAAGGGAGGGAAAGACCTCATAAATGTTTTAGGAACTGCAAGAAGTGGAAGTGGGAGGGTGGTTTGAAGAGAGAAGATTCTCAGAGAAAACCAACAACCACACAACAGACACTCAGGAGAACTATGGATGCAGGAAGACGATGGAACAGTAGAGGATTTCCAAGACTGTCCTTCGTATCTCCTATGTTGGGCTGTTCCCTTCCGCCTTTATTTTCCTCTGAGAAAGGCTTACTTGAAAGAGCCCGAGCCCCGGCAGGCCTTGAACAGTAATGCTGTAATGCAGTATATTAACATGAATTTTAGCAAGGCCTCAGAGATTTGGCCTCCCTGAACAGAGTCAGGCAGGCATTGCCAAAACTTGCAGAGTCGACATTTCAGAATATGGTGGACGCTAAGATGAGCAGACAGAAGGTGAGGAAAGATGGCAGGTTCCATCCCCTCACTGATGAGAGTTTTGGCTCTGCCAGGTAGGGAGTCTGACTGATCCTTGAGGGGAAGATTATCAGGGACAACTTGGCAACTGTGAGAAGTAACACAGGTGACTCAGGAAGGGACTCTGCCTTCAAAGGGCATGACCCGTTTTGTTTACTAAGTGATCCTTTAACTCAATTTTCTTCCAGCCAAGGGTGGGATTCAATAATCCTCTGCCCTTCCCAAATTTTAGAGCTGGGGAATGCACATTCCTCGGGTTCCTACTTTTCAAAGTGGAAAATACTCACGGAGCCCAACTCCTGAATGGTGTGACTTTATCTGTTTGCCTCCTCCCCGTGCGGTTCTCTTGTGGGTAGCCTGGCTGGAACTGTACCTGAGTCCAAGACTCTGTTTCCAGATCTTAGCAAGACTGAAGGTGATGAGGCAAACTTAAAGTCTTTTCTTCAGCTGAGTGTTGTAATTAAATATCGCATCTGTTAGTGAGACTTCAGTAAAGCCGTTAGCATTCTAGGAAGCTTCAATTTATTGACCTACCTCTAATGTAAGCAAATGCTGCCAGAGAGTTGCTAACAATAACTCCGTCTTTCCTTAGAACCCTCGGTTTGCTTGGGTCAAAGTCTATACCTGTTTCATAAAAGATGCAAAACCGATTAATCACAGCTATTCATGGTATGACTTCTGCTCCCAACCCAGGACTGCCATAATAAATAAAATGTCATAGAAATCAAATCAATGGGCCTCTGACTGAATTACAGAAGACTAAGCCAGGAAGAGCGTTTAGTAAATAGTCTCTGAAAATATTAAGTGATAAGAGGGATTTAGAAATTCTAAAATGTGCTGGTTCCAACTTCAGGTGCCACTCATCCACCCCACTACAGAAGGGAACAAATGGATTTTCCCATCCAAAAGGCAATATCATTCATCATGCCTCTGGGAGGCTTAATAATGGCTTACCTAATCACAGAGCTGCTGTCTGCGCTGTTGACCATAGATAAGAAGGGAGGGAGATTATGGAGGGAGATTGTGTGGGGCTACTTTTTTGGAAATGCCAACAAAGTACAGGGCAGGTCTGGTTTTAGATGCCTGGTTACATTGCTGTGAAAGAGCTTAGGGAGCTCCTGATGGGTAGCCTGAGAGCTCTGGGGACCCCATGGGATGTGAGACAGGTCAAAAGAAGGGTGGCACAGAGCTCTTGGCCTCTACAGCTGGGGGACCAGGATATGCATGGAGTCCAGTGGGGAGCCCTGTTAGAAACAGCAGTGGGGCTGGGAGATGCAGAGCCTGGCAGAGAGCAGGTCTGGGGGAACCAGAAGAACAGAACATTAACAATAGTAATCTCTGAGCTTTGAGACTAGGGTCGAGTTCTATTTCTTGCTGCTTTCCTGTTTTCCACGTCAAGCATACTTTATTTTTATACCTAGGGGCAAAAGACCTCACAAATGTAATAAAAGTAATACAAAACAAACTTTGAACACACACAAAGTGTAGTATCTTAGATGCTCTACAGAAACTTTGCAGTTTCCATCAGGAGCCCCAAGGGTCTGATTTGATAAGAAAACCAAAATGTTCATCCCCCTCCTACTCACAACAGCCCAGTGAAAGCCCAAGGGCAGAGGTGGCATGTGTTTGGAGGCCCTCAAGTCCAGCCTGGGTCTGGCCCCCCCAGGTTCCTGGTGGGGTCATCTTTCCAACAAGCTCATTATAGAATTCAGGAACCCCAAATTTGTTTCCGAGCAGATCTCTTTTTCCAAGTGATATTTCATTTAAGAAATAAGAGGGGAATGGAAGGAGAACTTATTCCACTTATAATTTGAAAAACAAAACAAAATGTTGGCCACCATATGCAATCCATCGCAATAGCGCTGCCATTATCAGAGCTGGTAACTCCAGCTCACCTCCTGACATCCCCCTTTCATTCCAACCAATGTGCACCCAACTATGGTCACATGGGGCTGTTTACCTTTACTTAAAGAGAAATGCTGGTAGTAAGCCATAAAAATTACCATATTCACCATCTTTCTGCTTCAAAGAAGGTTTTAGATTAGCAACGGCTGGATCAATCGCTGTGAGTATGTTCTTGGGAACTAAAAACCAGAAAAGAAATACTTTAAAAACTTTGTACATTTAATATAATTTTTTCACTGCAATGTGGAGAAGATACCAAAAAAATCCACTTTCAAATCAGTACATAAATCACCCACTCTGCTTATCAGATACACTCACACACATAGGCGAATGGTAACTATGTGACCATCAAATGTCCCAGAAAGGTAAAATTTTGGAGAACAAGTAAACAAGCTATGGTATATCTACCCAACAGAATATTTAGCAATAACAAAAAACAAAGTCCTAGCACCTGCTACAACATGGGTGAGCCTCAAAATCATGATGCTCAGTGAAAGCAGCCAGACAAAAAAGACCACACATGGTATGATTCCATTAATATGAAATATCCAGAATAGGTGAATGCACAGAGACAGAAAGTAAGTTCTGTAGTGCTTACCAAGAATCAGGGGTGGAAATGGGGACTGACTGCACATGGGTGTCAGAGAACTTTGGGGATCATGGACATGTTTCAAAATTGGAGTACGGTGATCATCGTGTAGCTAGCTCTGTAAATTTACTAGAACTCATTGAATTGTTTTTGCTTAAAATGGGTGAATCTTAGAGCATGTAAATCACACCTCAATAACACTGTTAACTCTGGGGGCACTTGGGTGGCTCAGTTGGTTGAGTGACTCTTGGTTTCAGCTCAGGTCATGATCTCGGGGTCATGAGATCGAGCCCCGCATTGGGCTCTGAGCTCAGCGCAGAGTCTGCTTGAGATTCTTTCCCTCTCTGCTCTTCCCACCAATCATGCCCTCTTTCTCTCTCTCTAAAAAAATTTAAAACAACAACAACAACAACACTGTAACTCTGAACATGAAGCCCTTGAGATGTAGTGAAACAAAATGACTGTAATTGACTCAGAATCCACTACAGACCTCCTTTCCTGGCCCAACTCTGCTTTTCACCCACAGCTCTGAGTCCTCACTTCCTTAATGAGCCTGAAGAGAATTCTAAGACTGCATGCAAGGATGAAAGAATGATGCTCTAAGGGCATTTTAAATGCAATAGAAAAATGAGAGGAGAGCACTGTAACAGACTGTGTTCGGAGGTAATTAGAGATTCTGCTGAACTGACCCTAAGAATAAATCATCCTATCTCAAGATGCCCCGAGGAAAGCAGACAGGATGGTAGCATGCAGAGGGCCAAGCAAGAATTCTGAAGGCCAAGCATACCGCAGCTAGCCAGGAGAAGAGAGAGGAAACCAAATATTTTTGCTGCAGAATATTGCTTATTTTTGTTTGTTCTCTAGCTCAGCTGGTATCTGGGAGAAGTGGCAACAGGAAACAGAAATGACCCAACATAAACTGTGCAAGTTCAACTGCACTGATTTTTTTCTTTAAAGAGCTGGTAAGGGGCGCCTGGGTGGCTCAGTCGTTAAGCGTCTGTCTTCGGCTCAGGTCATGATCCCAGGGTCCTGGGATCGAGCCCCACATCGGGCTCCCTGCTCAGCGGGAAGCCTGCTTCTCCCTCTCCACTCCCCCTGCTTGTGTTCCCTCTCTCACTCTGTCTCTCTCTGTCAAATAAATAAATAAAATCTAAAAAAAAAAAAAGCTGGTATGACATCTTCAGCAGCAAGAAAACCTCATTTCCTTTCTCAAAGCGCTTAACTAAATTCTTTTAGGGATGTCCTGGGACCGACAACCAGAGAGCATTCCTCAATTGTACATTTTCCTCACGCAGGACACCCTGGCGCCTTCATGCCCATCGGCAGTGAGAGTCACATCCGGGGCTGTAAGGTGACAATGACAGGAGGCAGTGCTGTCCAGGGACCCTGAGGAATGCCCCTTGGCTGATGGCGGGCACACCACTGATTCTGAGAGCAGAGCAGCGCCCCAGAGAGCTGAACCGTGTTGCCACAAAATGCTTTCTGATGAAAAGCCTCTTGGTCATGCTGCACCCTGGGAAGGATGCCCCTGATTCCTTGGCAGGAGTAAGTCCTCCCTGCCAGGAGTGGCACGTCTTGGACATCTGTCTCTTGGCTTGTTGTCAAGATACAGCCTGAGTCGGGGGGCTCACTGTAAATGCCAGAGGCTTTACAGTTTGGGAAAGAAGAAGAGCTCAGAGAGGAAAGACAGTCTGGATGAACTTTGCAGAATACCCAGGTCCTTATAAGACCTTAAACTGCCGTGTGTGATACAGGCTTCTGTCAGGAAACTTGCCCATTTACTACATGAAAATGGCCCTGCTAGTGGGAGAATTTTTAGGAACTTGAACAGAACAGGTGTTGATGCACCTGTCGGATTCTTGCATCTCCTTGTTTCCAGCATGAAGATGGCGCTGGGGTGTGATTTACGTACCACCACCCTTCAAACCTGCCTCTCTCCATTTTAGATACGTTTGTAAAACCACCAGCAAACCATTATTCATGGAGCTCTTAATACGTCGGACCCCGGGCCCACGTTCAAACAGTGCATCTTGGTGTTCATGGTGCCCCTGTGAAGATGTGTATTGTCCCCATTCCTGCAGATGGGACACCTGAGGCTTAGAGATGCACCGTTCACCTGGGAAGAGGTAGCACCTCAACGCGGTCTTGTGCACATTGCCCTTGACCTTTCCATGATCCTGTGCTGTCCATGGGACGCTCAGCCTTTGGGAACTGGTTAAAGGATCATAAAGGTGGCAAAGTGATTTCCACTCAGACAGTCCCTGTGAGTCTGTTTAGGTAAAACCAGAGAAGATGATCCACTAAATTTGGGCAGGGCCCCCACCTCAACTTCTCCCCACCGCCTCCAAATAAATCTTCTGTGTCAAGCTTGGGTCAGTGCGGACTTTAAGAAAGAAGTCTCACTTAGGGCCCAAAAAGATTCTTCATGTCAGAGACAAACACGGTATTTCTACTTAACTTCCCCTCTTTCTCAGTAGGAACCTAGACTGCATGAGCACCTCTAAATCCTGGCACACCCCTAACCTGCCTTTCCCCAAATCCTGCACCCCCTATTCCTCCTGTCCCCAATTCTAGCATCTCCTATACCATCTGTCCCCAAATCCTGGCACTGCATCCCTCTTGTCCCTCAATCCTGGTACCTCCCTTCCCTCCTGCCCCCAATCCTAGTACCCCCCTTCCCCACTGCCCCCAAATCCTGGAACCTATTCCCCTTGTCCCTAAATCTTGGTACTGCCATCCCACCTGTCCCCAAATCCTGGCACCCACCTGCCTGCCCCATCTCCTGGTAGGAGCTATTCAGGCCCTAGGCTGAGGTCCATGCATTTCTTGTACCTTTCAGGCATATCAGGGTGGGGATGCTGGCCATGCCTCTGTCTTGGTGACTCTTGAGTACTAGTGGCTATGGATACGGAGAGTCCTCCCTGCAGATGTGAGGGGGGAGAGCAGGCTGAGTTTTCCAGGTCTGGCTTATCCTGTGAGGAGGAAAGTCTGAAATCCAGCATATCCAAGAAGTGCGGCTAATGCTTAAACTCGGAGGGAACACACAGAGGACCTCATTTAGCAACGCACTAAAGAAGAATACTGGAATACATCAATGTGCTCTGTGCTGAGTGGTCTGACATTATCCAGACGTGCTGCCTACAGTTCGAAGAGCAAAGGGCCCACAGCCTGAATCATGCCCCAGGGCTCCACAGAGATGCAGAAATTCTCTGCCCAGCCTAAGCCCTGCGGGGAAGAGAGAGCCAGGATTAAATGAAGCTCTATAAAATAGGGAGGAGAGTTCTTTTTAAAATGCAAATTGATTAGGTCCCCTGAGACCATTTGTCAGGGGCTCCCCGTCCTTGGGTAAAAGCCTAGCTTAACTTCCCATCCCCCAGGTCCCTCCAGTGCTACTCCAGTTGCCCTTCCCTCCTCCCACCTTCACTTTGTTGACTCCTACACACCTGGTCTTACTTGCCTCTAATGCCACCTCCCCCAGGAAGCCCTCCTTGTCCCCCAAGTCTCCAGAGCAGAGATCATACTGCTCATTGTAATTTCCCTACCCCCTATCAACAGGTGCAATCAGAGTCCCTATGGCTGAGGCATCCCTGCCCTGCCTCCTGGGTCATATTGGAGATGGGTGGCCTTTGTTTCTACAGAAATGAGGGCCCAGAGCTTGATGTTCAGTACTTGTCCCTAACGCACCTCTCCCCTCCCCACCCCCATGGAATGGGGTGTCCTGTCCCCTGGGTGGGCACAGCAAGATTGCTGGGTGGAACAGCAAATCTGGGTCAGACGCTGCAGTTAGATGCAGGGTATTGGAATAGACATCTATGGGGTGGACCTTCCCTGACCCTCTTATGTAAGAGCATCTTGACTTGGGGGTTTGGCCGGGCCCCTCTCTAGGAAGCCATGTTTATAATCACGTCACATGGTCTCTGGCCAGGGCTGATCCAGGGAGGGGGGCTACCTGACCCCAGCCCAGCCAATTAAATATCTTTCTGTTAGAAATTTGGAACTAAGATTGTCAGACTGCAAGTCTCCATAATTGTTAGAAACAGGACATAAAAATCATGGAGGCTATAGGGGTGGTCCTATGTCACCCAGCTCAGGCTCACAGGGAGGCTGGGTGCAGAAGGAGAGAGAGAGAGATTGAGGGCGAGGAGAGAATAAGGCAGCAGAAGTGCCATGAGAAGCAGAGAAGAGAGATGACAGAGGTTTGCCGTGACCTTGGAGCTACCTACCCTGAGGCCTTGCTTCCCTGCCCTGGCTTCAGTGGCCTGATACCCACCCGCCTCATCCCCCTTTTGGCTTAAACCAGCTCAAATTGGTTCCTTCACTCACATCCAAAGAGCACTAACTAAGACGGATTCTTAGTTAGAAATTAATTAACATCCTCGGTCTTCGTATCAACTTCCACATCAGCTGGGAGAAATTTTTTAAAAATGTAAAACCCTGCACTCCCATTCGGTGACCTTTAAAATATTCAGACATTGCAAATCATTTTTTAATGATTCAGGCTGCACAGTGAAGAGCCATCTGGCCAGGGGTGGAAGAGAGTATATTTTTAAAATGCCAACCACATAGATGGTGATTAGAAAACGTCTGCTTGGGGTGGTGGGGGGAGGGGAGACGGGCACGAACTTGCCTCACAGTGCCAGGCACCCCCTCCCTTTGGAATAAGTCCTGGGGGCCACACTGCTGGACAAGGGGGCACCGTCCTAGGGAGATGGGAGGACACCATCAATGTCCCATTTCCTCCACAGCCCCACAACCAAAACCAAGTTGCAAGCCCCCTCTCTGACCTCAGCCTTCTGGCCTCAACTGGACTCCCTCAAGTGCCTCCCTCTGCCATTCTCAACCTTACCCAGACCCCTCCAGGGACCCTCCTACTCTCCCTTCTTCCTGGAGACCCTCCTGTCTGCAGCTCGGATTCCTCTATCCACCACTGTGATCACTCGCTTGGGAGCACCCCAACTCTCTCCCTCCTTTACCATTGACCAGGGAGCCTGGAGGACCCCTCTTCTCATGTCTGCTCTCAAGGAGCTGGCCACGCTGGAAGGAACCACACCAGCGGGCAGACCAGTGTCCCCGAGAACTCTGGCGCTAGCCTCCCGCCCCCTGCAGCACTTCCTTTATACCTTCTCTCTTCTTCTCCAACGCTCTTCCCTCCCCGACCCTCACAGCTGATGACCTCCTCTCATACTCAGAGAAGACAGAGGCCCGGAGACAGAACAGAAAGCCCCCCAGCCACTCTCAGAGCCTCCTGTCCCGCTGTGACAAGGGAAACATCCTTCACGCCCATCTGAGGCTGACCCCGTCCCTCTGCCTCCTCTGGGCCCCCAATCTTTCCACCAGGCATGTGTCCTCAGCGTCTCTCACATCTTCCCACTTTCCAAACCCTTCACAGATTTTTTACTCGCTCTTGTTCCAACTGGCCGCCCACCCCCAGTCCACTGCAACCCATTCCCCACCCCACAGCCCATAGACTGGTCTCTTAAGAGTCCAGGCATCACAGGGGTCTGACTGCCCCACTGCAAGCCCTCCACTGGCACCTCCACCGAGGACCCTGCAAGACCAGGTCCTGGCTGCTCCGGAGCTATTTCATGACACCTTGACCTCACCAGCTCTGCGCCTCCCCCCTGCTCGGCACTTCACATGGGCTGCCCAGATTTACCTGGTGGGTTTACCTGCTCGTTTGTTTAGTGGCCATCTCTCACCCTCAACTGATAATTCCAAGGACAAGAACCATGCCCCCCTTTTTTTAAACCACCCAATTCTTGGCACCGGGCACCACCCTGACACAGAGCACATGCCCACAGCGCACTGAATGAATGGACGAGGGAGAAGAAGCTTGAACTGAAGCAGGACCTCCAGGCCCTGAGAGCCCACCTTCTCTCCGCTAAGAAGAGCCCCAGCCCTAGGAGCTGTCACCTCATTCTTTTTTTTTTTTTTTTT